GCACTTACGGCATGGTCCACACTTCACGGGTTCAGACATATCTACTTCGGCACAGGTACAATCACGCGGAGTTACGCACCTAGACAACGCATCACAGTGACTTTGCTTTTTACCCGGTCGATACTCAATCGCGAAATCATATTCTGCCAAAATTTCGATCCAGCGCGCTATCTTACCATTAGGTTCTTTCAGTCGAAAGAGCCAGACTAGTGCCTGGTGGTCGGTATGAATCTTGAACTTTCTACCTAGTAAATATTGGCGGAAATACTGCGTGAAATAAACAACGGCAAGCAATTCTTTTTCGGTCACGCAGTAATTTTGCTCAGCTCTGTTTAGACCTCTGCTAGCATAGGCTATAACTCGCTCTCGCTCATGCTGCATCTTGCTTAGGACCGCGTTCTATACCGACTCCCGACGCGTCAACGTCTAATTGAAATTCGCCGCCATTATTGAGGGGATACCCCATTACCTCAGGGCTTATAAGGCTGATTTTCAGTATCTGAAATACTTCCTCACACATCCCATCCCAGACAAATTCTTTTCCTATTTTTGTTAATTCTGTCAAAGGCTTTGCTATTTTTGAGAAATTTCTTATAAACCGTCTATAATAGGACCCGGTTGCAACAAATTGCTTAACTTGTTTCGCATTTTTCGGTTGAGGCCAATTGACGATTTTTGACACATTATTTGGGTCTGGACGAACCCTTCTCCAGATACAATATGTCCCCAAAACACAACTTCGGTTTGTAACAAAGAACACTTTTTCAGGTTTAAGCTTGAGACCTGCATTCTTTACTCTATCAAGTACTTGACATACACGAACAATGTGTTCTTCAAAATTGCGCACAAATACAATGATGTCGTCAATGTAAACCAAACAAGTTTCCCATTGTAATCCCTGAAGGGCTAGTTCCATAGTTCTTTGAAACGTTCCTGCGGCATTGTTCAAACCAAACGGCATCCTCGTCATCTCGTAATGACCGAACTTACAGCAGAATGCACTCTTTGGGATATCTTCACTTTTCAAAGGAATCTGGAAGTACCCACTTGTTAGGTCAAAACTACTATAAAATTTAGATCCGGCAACAGCGTCTAAACAATCCTGTACCCTCGGCAAAGGAAATCCGTCAGGCTTTACAAGTGCATTGACACGTCTGTAATCCACACATGGGCGAATGGCTCCTGACTTTTTCTTGACCAATACCACTGGTAATGCCCATGGCGAAGTACTTTTCTTATTACACTTTTTTGAAGAAGATCTTCAATAGCTCTTTTTTCTGCTTCAGCATAGGCGAGTGGCACGCGCCTAGGTCTTTGTTTTATGGGGGCTGCATCGCCTCTATTGATAGAATGCTCAGCAAGATTTGTTAATCCTAAATCCCATTCATGTTTCGAAAATACCTCATCATATTTAACAAGCAATCCTGCAATGACTTGTTTTTCATACTCTGATTTATCATCAACAGACTTTTCGAACAAGTCCTGTAGATGAAGAGGAATCTCGTTACTTTTCGCAAGTTTGAATGGAAGGTCAGGTTTAACTGTACTCGTTTCTTCGGTCTGGACTCGTCTCACTTGGTTGACATTGTCTTCCTCATCTGCATGCTCTTTCGCTGTTATAACTTTTGTAATTGCCTCAATTTTCTAAGCTCTACCTACAAATGCATTTTGTCTCAAATGTTTTTTCTGTTGTATGGGGATTCAAAACTCTAATTTTGTTTGTGGTAGTTTTATTGATGTTGACTAGTGTAGCTGCCATAGCCAATTGATACCGCTGTTTAAATTCATCGGTCCCTTCTATTATGTAGTCAGCATGTTCATCAAGGTCATCATCTTCAGTTCTCTCTACATAAACATCTACAATAGCCTCAGATTTTGCTGGCACTATGATATCATCTGCTATAACTACTTTTCTGGTGCTTCTCTGATCAACTTTCTGCATGCATGGTATTTCTTCTCCCTCCAGTACAATCACTTTCTTACTAAGTAGAATGTCAACTGGGCCAAAATTACCATCTGCCAAAATATCGCACCCTAGCAGAACATCATCTTCAATGTCAGCTACAACTAACTCTCTTCTCATTTGAACCTTTCCTATTGTCAGGCTGAACATACCTAAGCCCCATTCTCTTATCTTTGTACCCCCGGCGCCGCATAACCCAGCAGACCCCATTAAAGTTGGCCTCTCACCTTCTTTAATCTTTTGGTACACCCTATAAGACAAAATGGTCCTAGTAGCTCCTGTATCAGCCGTAAATATAACCGGTTCATTCTCTACTTTACCTTCAACAAACACACCACTACAAAAATCTTTATTTTCTACCACCTCCCCCTTTAAATTGTTTTCTTCAAAATTAACTCCCTTTAAATTATTGCTTAAATCTGCCTTTAATTTGCCCTTCTCTAAAAAATCATCCCCCTTTAATTGGACCTCCCTTTGGGCACAAGGGCTGGTCCCTTGAAGTTTAAAGACTGACCCTTGTCATTTCCTCGTTGTACCTTAATAGCTTCTCTATTATTGTATCGATATCCTCTGTTTGGGCATGCTCTAGCATAGTGACCTTTCTCGTGACAATTGAAACATTCTATTTCTTTAAAACTTTTCCTTTCACGGTTACCATTGCTCTTGTCCTCCTCAAGCTTCTCGACTCTTTTAAGTAATTTACGCAATAAATCTTCTTGGCTCATCGCGTCTAACTTTTCGGTACTTTCATGACTTTTCGCTGACTTTTCACATTGTTCTGGTATTCTGTTAATACTGCTTCCAATGTAGTTAGACCTTTCATTTGACCTATCTCTTGAATCTTCCCTCTGATTTTCATAAGCTCGTCTCGTACTGTGTCTACCTTGTCTATCATGCCTACTGCCACCTTTAGTCTGAATTAGATTTACGACATGGTAAACTGCTTCGTCTATGTCTTTCGGTTCTTTATGATATTCAACTTCAAATTTAGTGTCTTGATCAAGAAGTCCATCTAAGAATTTTCTCACTAAATCTTCATCACGAATGCGTCTGTCCCTGTGACCGTACGCTTTCCCATAAAGACGCTTTAGATCTGCTGCATATTCTTCTGCGGTCTCGCCATGTCTTTGATTTCTTCTAGTGAATTTGGCTGCAAATGATCGACTTGTCTCAATAACCCTATACCGCCTTGTTAACTCTGACTTCAATTCATAATAATCATTCAGGATTTCAGTTGGTAACTGGGAGAAGACAAATTCAGCTGCTTGTCCTTCTATCCTTGGAATTAGGTTGTCCAGTTTATCTTCTTCACTCCAACCATATCTATAGGCCATTGCCTCAAACTTTGATGACCAGACAGTCCAGTCTTCCTTGCCTGTAAAAGGTGGAATCTTTACATCTGCATATCTTGGCACTCGACTTCTTGGCTGCATTGCTTGGGGTATAAATCTCCTCCTATACCTATGTCTTGGTTGATCACTTCTTTCATCATTGTTAACTGGCCCGCTATCACCTATTTCATTGTACTGGTCCTCAACCGTGTAGGCTTCATATCTGTTATTGTCAGTTTGATCAACAAAATGGAAGTCGTGAGTATATCTGTAACGTTGATTGGTATTACTATCAATTGCTGTTCTACGAGGTTCATCAAAGGTGCATCTACTACCTCTTGCATCTTCTGATGGCAAGTCTCTTGGTATATTCTGTCTTTGGCTCAAATTTTTAATCTCATGAACCACATCCTTAAGTACCCCGGTAACATCTCTCATCATACTGTTCGCTTGTTCAATGGCTCTTTGCTCTCTGTTTTCATTTTCTGGTGATGAGTGAACCCCAGTATCTGCTCGGTCGATTGTATGAAATGATTCATCGGCCACTCCGTCACCATCTGTTTCACTATTTTGCTTATATGCCGTATCAGTATCGTCTTCATTCTCTGTGAGTCGAAAGTAGATTTCGCCTTGACTGTCAACTGCTCTCACTTCATGTTGGCTCTGATCTTCCATGGCTCTTGGTTCGTATCTCTGGATCCCGGTTAAATTTCCAAAACTTGTATAACAGGATCCCACTTCTGACACCAAAAATTGTTGCGCGCTAGGGGAAGGCCTGTCAGGGTGGCTTATTTAGTGCGCAAACTGAAGTAAACCCTAGGGGTTACGCAGGGCCTCTTGATGGCTTGAATTCTATTAAATACCTTGTTGGGATGGCTTGACATAAAGTAATACTCTTTTCCAGCTTATATACCTTTGGATGGCTCGACAAATAATAATACTCTTTTCCAGTTATTCAACACACAATAAACGCTTTATTAAACAGTTAATAAGTTTAATAAATAATAATTTCAGCACAGTTCATCATATAATTATCAGCAAATAATCATGTCACACATCAAACATATAGCATATATGTATCAGCTATCAGAACTCTAGTAATTCACAAGTGTACTTGAATGTATCTGAAAATCATCTATTCATAAGACTTATTATTAATTCAGCTTGTTTAACTTAGACTAATCATCAAAGTAGATTTTATAAAAGTCCCAAAAATATGCACATCTCAGAGCAATAAATATAAGGCTTGGAACAGTTCTGGTATTACTTAAAACGAGCTTCTTCTAGGTAAAAAGTATTTCTAAATCTTTAAAATGTAGATCTGTAGGCCTATATAAAAATCCTCTAAAAATAGTTAATGTTGCTTACATTAATAGTGTAAAGAGCTTTTTCCATGTTAGCATCTGAAGACAAGCAAAACAGGCTTATGGTACAATTTCCAAGCAGATTCTCACCAAGATCACCAAAAATCGGCCCTTTTATACTAAATCTAGAAAATTGACCAATAAAAATGGTCAAAACAGGTCAATTTGGTCATTTACCAAAAAGAAATGGTCAGTGACCATTTTCGTCTGGTCACAGTGACCAAAATATTTGGTCACATTGATCAAGCTACAGAAAATTGGTCACTGGGCCACTTTTACATGAAAAACTTTGCTATGAAATAAAAAGAAAGATAAAACATTAAATTACAGTAAAATCAGTACCATTAGATTCAATTTCGCACTTTTGTTGCGTTTAAACATTTTGTAGACGACAACGACATCGGCTGCTAACGGTTGCCATGTAAACACTCCCATAATGCATATCTACTAAGTGGCTACTTCCTTGCAGGAAACGTGTTAATTTAATACAAATAATCGTAAATTGTGCAATATTCAGAAGGATTAAAGTGCTGACAGTTATTTAAATCAATCAATAAAAGTGTCTGGAGTAATTACATACAATAAATAACAATTCACAAAGACTTACATGTTAAAATCAGGACATCTGTGTGAGGAACAGTTACCGGATATGCCGGATAAAAACAGAACACGTTCGGATTAAAGTTAAACGAGCATGAAGCTGTATTATACGTGATAGGTTGTTTAAACTATGTTGATCTACACGTATGTGTACAATTTTATGTTTCGTTACTATCAACAATCAAGAAAATGGGAAAGATTGGTTCGAATACAGCTCACATCATTATCATTGAACAAATCAAGTTTACTGTTAATACAAGTACATTTAAATAAGGTAAGATTCTGTTCCCCTGACCCTAAGGCATTACAATATTAAGATAAACTACATTGCCAATGTACTTTTTCTATGTGATAAGACTATTGTGCTAAATACAGGGTTCCCACGGTCAGGGAAAAGTCAGGGAAAAATGATTTTTTTCAAGGTCAGGGAAAAGTCAGGGAATTTTGAAATTGGTCAGGGAAATTTGAAAAATAAGCAAAAGTCAGGGAAATTTTAGTCAGGGAATTTTGAAGAAAATAATTTTTGTCAAACAGCAAGAAGCAAAATCAGTAAAAGCTAAGGCAGTTTCTTCCATTATTTTGGATATCTTTATTGTTATTTTTTATTATGAGCATCTGTCTTATTTTTATATTCTTTTACTCTTAAAAAATGATTATGCTTATGCCTGAAGTTTTTGGATATTTTTTGTCATTAACAGAAACTTACTTATTAAGAAAGAAGCTAAAAGGGGTTTAAGTGTCCCTTGCCTCCTGAGCTGTTATGGTTTGTTCTTGTGAAAGAAGCTGATAATCTAGCACAGGAGGCTGTAAAAGATAAAAATGGACTTGTTTGTGAAGTCCAATGGCAAGTGCAATGCCTTCAGGGGCAATGTCAAAGAGAAACTTGAGAACTTGAGATAAACACTTGTGGACTTCAATTAAGTACCAATCATATTTATGCCTTGCGATTAATTACCAATCATATTTTGCCTTGCTGTCTTTTTTGTTACACGATGACAATTCAATTACTTTGAGATACTAACTGCCATAGCTAGTTTTATTAGTAGTATTTATTAGCTTTTTACTGCATTTTGCTTTTTTATTTAGCCAACTTTTTACCTGTCTTATTTGTTTCTTGTCCCCAATACCAGTGTTCCATTGATTACTATCATATATTTTAGTAAAATGCAGTCCCTGTTTTAGTCAATCCCTCCCGTTGATTACACTGCTTTGTATTTTTTAAGAGAATAAAACATCTTAGATTTTTTAAATGACATGAAATTTTTTATCAAATACTTTACATTTTGGATAAATGTACTCATACTTGTTTGAAAGGTAAACAGACAAGTAGCTTATACAATCGTCGCTATTAAATATTCATGTATTTTTTATCTTGAATAATTTAAAATAAAGAATTGGAGAAAATAGGTTGGCTGTTTGGGGAGGAGGAGGTCGAAATGCATGTATAAAAAATACATTTAATGCTCTAAGATTGTGGAAACTTGACGCTGTTATTAGTCAGGGAAAAATGGTTTTGGTCAGGGAAAGTCAAGGAAAAGTTAGGGAATTTTGATTTCTCTTCTTTGTGGGAACCCTGATATATGAAAGACAACTTAACACAATACACAAAATGACATTAATATCCATTATATACGTAAATACAGCACAATAAATTCATAATGCATTCTTAAAATTAAAACTTTACATTATTCAAAATCTAGATAAATATTTGTAAAACATATAGTATACCTTATTTCAATTACTTGGTTTATCATCTGGTTTTCGTTATTCATCAAGTATGACTTTGTACATATTTGACCTTCGCCAATAATTGACACTATGTATTTATGTCTAAGCTCATCGTACAACTTGGATTCTATAATGAAATGATACTCGTCTTCTAAGACGTTACAAAAGTTACATAGTCATTCATTTACTGGTTTAGTCGCCGGTCTTGACCAACGACCTGGTTCTTTTTGCAGTCTATGTGACGAATCTCTTAATCTAACAAAAGATTGACAAAATTTACTATTTATAAAGTGTTCTTAGTAAGTTTGAAATCTAAAATTTGAAATAGTTCGATAAAACAGTGCTTTACTATAATTTTCTAATCTATCATGCCAATTCTGCTTGAACTGATCGTGTAATCTCTGTTAAGCTAAAGACAAAAATAAATTACTAAACCAACATTTTGTTGCAAGCATACATAATAAAATCCAAATGTACAAAATAACTCTTTTACTAAAGAGCACCAATTTACTTTATTCAGGGCATTTTCTAAATCATTTTTGAGCATATTATATACCAAAGACACATATTTATTTTCTTCTGTATGTACGACTTTGATCCAATATCTTATTATATAATAATAGTGTATTGTCTTAAAACTAAATCTACCTAGTTCACCGTGAATAAATAATTCTGTGTTGTATTTTTCACTCTTGGTACCTTCTTGCAAAACTGAAATTGTACCCTTTCTATTGTCTATTTTTAGCAAAACCACACACTTTCATAATTCAGAATTGGAGCTACTCATTTATCAAGTAATCAAATTTATGTTTAGGAGTTATATATATGAATTTATACAAATACATGTTTAACTTTAAAATAGCTTTTCTTGAGCTTGTCCAGCTGGTGTACTTTGTGCTGTAGATAAAGATCCACCACTTATAAAAAAATAGCTAAATAAGTAAACTTACTAACTATTTCAATTTCTTCATCGTCGTAATATAATTTAAGATTTCTTCGAATGGTTCCATCTCTTCTAAATATCATTACTTTTGTTTTTATTGTGTTAACTTTTAATTTCCAAGTTTTACAATAATCTGCCAATAAATTTATATTCTCTTGCATTTCTTCTGCAGAGTTACTAAAAATAACAATGTCATCTGCATTCAATGAAATATATATTTATACATGCAAACATCTATACCCAGTGATCCACTGTGGATGTGAATCTTCTTAGTCATTGATACAAAGTGAAAAGATAAGCATTCCCCTTGTCTAACGCCAAGCATGCATGGAAAATCACTACTTAATTCATTAATATATTTTACTCTTGCCTTAACTGATTGATACATAGACTTCATGATATTTTAAAATATTACCTCTAAGACCTAATTTTATTAATTTGTACAACAAATTCTCTCTAACCACGTGATCAAAAGCTTTAGAAAAGTCGACAAATAAAGCAAATAGTTGTTTCCCTTGATTTAAAACATGATAAATCAGACTATTTAACACAAAAACATTATTTACTTTACTCATTTTTGACCGGAACCCAGCCTGAGCTTCAACATAGACATTATAATTTTCAGCCCAATTCTTTAACCAATTCTTTAACCTATTTACATGCCTAAAAATTTTACCCAGTCAGCTCAATAGTGTAATGCCACGGTAATTATCTACATTATTAGCATAACCTGTTAAGCTCAACTGAGCTTGCTCAGGGTGAGCTTTAAGGATCGCTGAATGTCCGTCGTCTGTCGTCCGTGCAACTTGTTCAATAACACTAGCGGTCCAATTTTTGCCTCAATCATAATCAAACTTTGTCAAGATGCTTATGTGGTTGATTGCTCGGATGAATGCGAACATGGGTCATTTCAGATGAAAAACTAGGTCACAGGAGCTAAAAATAAAAAACCTTGTTAACACTCTAGCATTTTTTTGCCTCAATTATCATCAAACTTTGTCAGGATGTTTATCTAGTTGATAGCTAAAATGAGTTTGAATATTGGTCATCTTGGATAAAAAAACAAGGTAACCGGAGCTAAAAATAGAAATACTTTGTTAATACTGTAGCGGTTACATTTCTGCCTCAATCATCATCAAACGTGGTCAAGATGCTTGTCTAAGTCATAGCTCAAAGGAGTCTGAAAAAGGGTCAGCTCGAATGATAAACTAGGTCACAGGAGCTAAAAATAGAATAAAACCTTGTTAAAACTCTAGCGGTCACATGTTTTGCCTCAATCATCCTCAAGCTTTTTCAGGATGCGAGTCTATGTGATAGCTTGAATGAGTTCGAACATGGGTCATCTCGGGTGAAAAACTAGGTCGTCAAAGCTTTAAATAGAAAAAAAAACTTCTTAACACTCTAGTGACTGTTGTTTTGATCCAAATATCCTGTGCATTGGTCTGAAACCTCGCTTTAATGATTTCTAGGTAAAGTTTGAATATGGGTCACCTTGGTCAAAAACCAAGTCACACTGCCCAAATATGGAGACACCTTGTTAACATTCTAGTGGTCACATTTTTGTCTCAATTATCATCAAACTTGGTCAGAATGCTTGTCTAGGTGATTGTTCGGATGAGTTCGGATGAGTTCGATGGGTCATCTCAGATTAAAAACTATGTCACTTGGGCTAAAAATAGAAAAATCGTATTTACGCTCTAGTGGCTTCGGTTTTGATCCAAGTACCCTGTAAATTGGTCAGAAAGTTTGTTTTGATGATTTCCAGGTCAAGTTCGAACATGGATCATCTTGGATGAAAAACTAAGTCACACCACCCAAATATGAAAAAAGCTTGTTAACACTCTAGTGGTCACATTTTTGACTTATTTATCATCAATTCTTGTCAGGATGCTTGTCTAGGTAATTGTTTGTATTAGTGCGAATATGGGTCATCTCGCATGAAAAACTTTGACATCGGAGCTTAAAATAGAAAAATCTTGTTAACACTCTAGTGGTTTGATCCAAGTATCCTGGATATTGGTCTGAAAGTTTGTTTTGATGATTTCTAGGTCGATTTCTAATATTGGTCACCTGGGTAAAATAAGAATCCCTAAAGAAAGCACAACACGGCAAAATTGAAAATGTTGCAGGCTCGGTTTGATTGAGCCTGTTCATGGACGGTACTGGAAAGTGCAAGTTAACGTCCACGCCCCCTAGCACCGGCTTAAGCAGAAATCAACATTTAATATGAACTACATGTAGTTATATTTAGAATTTTGAAACATCCGCAGATGTGTTCATATGGCAGTTATCATGGAACCTTGAATGTGACACGTTAGTGCCATTCCATGAAAAGCGGCATATGGCCCCCAAGTAAAAAATGAGTGTGCCCTAAACGATGAAAACAATGGGCGGAACCAAACAAAATGGAATTTTGAAAGGGGACACACTGCTCAAATATAGATAATCCTTGTCAGCACTCTAGTGGTCACATTTTTGACTCACCTGTCATGAAACTTGGTCAGAATGCTTGTCTAGGTAATTGTTCGGATGAGTTCGATGGGTCATGTGAGCGATCAAGGGCCACCATGGCCCTCTTGATTATATAAAGGGATAA